TCGTAAGTATCTTGGTCGACCTTCGAAGCAGCAAAAGGCCAACGGCCAATTGTATGCCTTTGACATGGATGGATTCATCAAGAGCCTTCCGCACGATCAACACGACTACGCTGCTATGATGCGTGAAACACAGTGTAAGTTTATTCCTAACCTTTTGCACTCTCATTCTTGGTTAATAAGTACCTAACTCTGAACTATAACAGGCTTCAATGAGTTCATTCATGACCGAGAGATGCAGCCAGCCAACGATGCTTCAATCCGTCTATTCGATGAAATCATCATGGCCAAGAAAGCTCGAGGACGTTCCGGTTTAGCGACTGGTCTCTCCCGCCTCTCCACCCTCCGTGCTTCCCATGGTGCCTCGACTTACGGTGGCTTCGGTCCTCCCCGCGGCGGTTCCAATAGTAAGATTCCCGCTTTCCTCGGTGACATATCCGATCACATTTGGCGGACTGCTTCAGTGCCACTACCCAAGGGCAACTTCCCCGGAGAGTACAAGACTATTGTTACTCGCACTCCCGCCCGCCTTGATCGGTCTCTGATGCGAGAACCTCGGTCTATTCAAGGTATGCCCCGGGTAGAGCCGCGGGGTACGCGTGGGCTCATTCGAAAGCAAGTTCCCAACATGTTTGGCACGACACCTCCTACTTGAGGATAGAGAATGTACAGAGATCAACTATAGCAAGCAACTTGACATGATGATAAGTTGCGTCACTGACCGTCTATCAAACGGAGTCTTACCCTCGTTTCAAGTAAGCGAGGCAAGACTGAATCACAAATTGAAAAGCAAAAGCAGGAGAATATATCATGTACGATACCACGTTCTGTAATAATCTAGGCGAAAATGATATGAGGAGTGGGGAGGAAGAGAATTACAGTCAGCAGGCCCAGAGGACGGCGACAAAATAAGAAAAGTACTCAATGGTGAAGGCTGTTAGAGGTTGGACTGCCCAGTCTTGCCAGATGAGCAGCCGCCGAGTAGAGCAGCCAGAAAAGGAAGAAAGAGAAAGAAAGATGAGACACAACGTCTCGTCCATGATAGACATTATTGGATCTCTAGTCTGTTTGAAATGGCTAGATGCAAACTTTGGGCTTGACCTTCCATACAAATACACATACATATGCACAATAGGTGTCACCAGCATAAACATTAGCATATAGGGATAGGAGTGTTCACTTAATCAAAGGTTAGGTAGGGTGGGGTGTTAAAGGCTATACAATTTATGTAAAGGGACTTGTCGATATCTGTTTTGTCCCTATGGGAATGCGCCCCTAGAATGCGGTTTCTCAATGTTAATATTAGACATAGAGCTTTGTTCCATAATTTTCCTAAGAATGTCATAGCAAAGGTATTCTCATCTCGTCCAGTCCTGCCTAATATGATGCCGACACTTTTCTCGTGCTAAGTGGTCCTGCGCAGCTTCTCCGCCTTCTAAGCGTTAAGGTCCAGGTCCTCCCAATGAATGTCTTTGAGAATCTTTCCAACAATATATGAGTAACGCAAGTGTCCGTTCGCAAGGTTGCTAACGTTGTGATTCTCGACACCGTCTGCGCCCTGGATCTTTTGAAGGCCTGCAAGCCCGAAATGGATGTTGGAGGTACGGTATAAGAACCCAAGGAGATAGTCGCTCTCTGAGTAGACGTTGACCAGACGGCCAGATACAACACTCTTCATAGTCAGCCAGACACGGCTCTCTGAAGGAGCTGGCGTGCCCATCAAGACCACCGAATCGATGAGACCAAACTGGCGACGCTCAGCAAGTATCATCAGACACACGTAGATAGCTCGAGCTGCTAGGCTGAACCCGACAAGAGACACTGGGCGGTCACCTTGGATCTTGCTGCGCATGATTGCATCTGCAAGAACTGTACCAGCTTTCTCGGCGCGAACCATTCCCATGCTCCAGGGGTTATCGATGATTTTGCTCACTTTCATGAGTTCCACTGGCCAAGTTGCCTCAATAAGATTCTTGAAAACTAACATTGTGTTAGTTGTGTCTATTTGCAGGCTTTCTGGGTATAACGTACTTGTTCGCGAAGAGATAGCTTGTTTTGCTGCAGCCCAAGCGGAGCTCCTGATAACTGTGTCAAGGGCAGTGCCTATGTTGGCAAGAACATTCATCTCCCATCGCAAGATGTACACTTCCGCATTATCACCAAGGACCTTCCAATATCCTGTGAGATTTTCTTTGTCAGTTACCCAGCCGTTCATAGCAATGACCAGGCGAAGGCGTCGGGCGATAGACGGAATTGCCGTTGCATCCACATAGTCCCCCTGAAAATCACACCGGAGAGGCATAAGGCCGAAGTCTTGGATCTCGCGAGAAAACGATTCAATCATCTTGCAAGTTGGTCTCGCGCTGTAGATTCCCAGCATTGAGCCAGTAGATGGTCCATTGTCAGCCATGGGTCCCAACAACCCTGCAGCTGTTGGGAGTCGCAGGCCGTGTCCGCCGTGCACCGTCCCGATCCCTACGGCGATAAGCTGTGTTCCAAGTCTGAATGGGCCTGTCATGGCAGCGATACGTGCCTTTGATTTCAGGACCGGCTTATTCTCATCCTGGCTCTGCTGTGAAGCTTGCTCGATAGCTGAGTCTACTGCAAGTTGGCTGAGTCCTTGTGCGATTCGTTTCTCTTCCTCATGTAGGACTTTCAGAGGAAGATTGAGAGATGAAGTAAGGTTGAGAAGGGTCATTCGCGCATATGCAAGATACTCCTGGAGGGAAATGACAATTAAGAGTGAGATATGTAGTAGGAGCTTTCGTTTCTCTAGTGGCAGAGTCCAGAGAGATGTCGGAATAGGGGGGAACCGTCGGGACAGCTCGCGATCGACGTGAGCTGAAGGAGTCTTGGGTGGACCTGATTCTTGTAAGCACTGGTCCATCTTGATTGACTAGAGAAGTTATATGGGATTAAAAAAATATATAGTGGCCTTTGTCAACTCACCGATAGCCAAGGTCAGACCTCCGCGACCCTCCCCTCTTCCACCACGTGCGGAACGGCCACCTCGCGCACCTCGTGGGTTGGCACGGCCACGACCACGGCCACGCATGTTAGATTGAGAACCGTTAGGTTCCGTGACGGTGATATCACGAAGACGCTGTAGAAAGATTGTCTGCCACTTTCTGAAGAATATTAGAGCTTCCTTCTTCAGCTCCCTGAGTTGAGGCGTGATGGCCTCGGGCTCCTCATCATCCGGGGACTGGGTCGTTATTTTGTCTGTTGGCACGGGTTTGGGGATGTTTTTGCTCAAATTAGAATGACTTGGGTCTACATTCTCCTTGCCATTTGTCTGAAGCGACAGAGCCAGCCAGTGGTGATGGCCAATATCGACATTTTCAATGTCACTGAAGTCACCTAGAGTAGGAGTGACTGGAGGCGAATCGAAAATGACACTGATATCATTATGAAGTTTCTCTGTAATAGCTGTGATCAAAGTTGTCAGATCGTTTTTCTCAGCGACAGAGAGGTTGCTAGTTAAGTCGACTGGCCTGCGAGGGACCGAGCTTGTTCGCCCGCCGCGGGTCATGATGCCGCCTTTGTATAGTGTTGGCGATTTTGCTATCAAGATATGGAGGAGAATGAGAGAGACTACAGTCGATTTGCAAATACTTGCTGCAAGTGTTTGTTCTTCTCGCCCCTTTTTTTTGGTGTAGGACCGTGAATATATGAGTGTTGTGTATGACAGGTACTGGAGAAGTTGGAATGATTTAGTTCCTGAGAAAGAGCTTCAAATACTAGTGAGTAGAAAAAGAAGGAGCCATTAGATGTAAATGTTTGGCGTTTCTTTGTTTCGCAGGTAGGAATGCAGCTCGCGAAGTGGTATCTCATTCACCATAAGTGAATGTCAAACAGAGGCCGTAAACAAGGAGCCGCTTTGACTGGTGCGTATGCAGTTGGTATAGCAAAGATGAGTGAACAATGAAGTAAAAAGACCAACAAGAGAATCAGAAAAGCGAAAGAAGGAATACAAACAGATGGAAAAGATGCGATTCAATAGATGAAGGCAGTCACAAAGAAGGGGAAGGAATGCTGCATGCCAAACGGAAGGAGTGATACAGATGCAGTCACGAAGTTGCTTCAATATCCTTCTTGATGTGCATGTTGGAAGCCACAGTTAATTTATGAAAGAACGAAAGGGAAGTGGAAGGTGGTTGGAAGAACGAAAAGAAAAGGAAGGATGAAGGGAAGAGAAGGGAAGGAAAGGAAAGACGGCAGGAGTGAATGCATGCAGTGCACCTTGAGAGAATGATGCTTCACCGGCGCTTTTGGCAGTGTTCGCCAGCTGGCAGGCGGATGTGACCGACACTGGCAGCCGATTCTTCTGCCAGTTGGCCACTTCTTTATCCAACCCTCTCTCCCTGTCTCTGAAGCTAATCTCATCTACTTTTAGAAGGGGAGGGGGAACCATGGATACAGCAGTGTCACAATATGCGATGCAAATGAAGTCATTAGCCTCACTCATCCCACTTCCATCTCTTTCTGCCTGTCTGCTACTCAAGTACCTGTGTTTTGCATATAGAAATTCTAGTGAGAATCGCTCCAGCTCGGCTACATGCGCCAAAATCTTGCATGCTACTAAAGAACTATGTGTAACCCGACAAATTTTTATGTTTGCTGCCATCTTTCATCTCGTATCACTGCATTCTGCTCACCGCGGTCTTTCAGAAATGTTGGTCGTAACCAGGTATTGAGCAACAATAAAAGATACATATCTATCTCTGATTCAAGACGAAGAGGGGTTGCAACTCCGTAACGCCGTGTTACTTGAACCCGCAAGATGTTCAGTGTTGGGTTCTAAAGGAATTGGAAGAGATATCAAGAGTCCAATCAAACATATAATTTACAGGGTTTTGAGAGTAAGCAGCAGCAAGTGCAGTATAGGGGCAAAGGGTGTAATTCCAGCTCTATAGTCATCATCATGACCAGATCTGGACACTGAAGCTTCTGATCGTGACGCACGTTACTTCGGCTTTGCTACCCGGTGCATCGTGGCTAATTCATGTACAAATCAGAGTGTTGTGTGACCATATCTCGGTCGAGCCATCGGTGAGCACGATATGGGTCGTGCGGATATTTCGCCAAATAGGTGGTGATGGATTGAACTCGTTTGTCTCCCGCTTCGAAACGTTAACGGAAGCCTCACTGTTGATGCTCCTAATAGGGCACACGCAAGAGATAGGAGTCCCTGACTCTACCAGAAAGCACGACTATCAGATTCATGTAGGTGTCAACATCCTTCCATTTCATGGTATCTTTGGTGTGCTGGTACAGCGAACATCGGAATAGGATTTCCGCAAAGAGGGCATGATACATTGTTCCCCATATCCCAGTCACTATCATTGTCTTCGTCATCCTCATACTCGCCTTCTGACACAGGATGTTCATGGTCGCCAACCTGTCCAATGCCTTGTTCTTCTTTTATCTGAAAGGGTTTCAGCACTTCATCTTGACGTTTAAACATGACAGAAATATCTCTGCCTACTCCCGTTTTGTCATCCGCTGCACCAACTACCATATTTGTTACACAGATGTTGAGCATCTGCAAGTTCCACCGCTGTCCCCTTTCTGGCGACAATCGTCGTAACAACGGTAGCAGAGCATCAGAGACGAGCTTTTCTGCGATATGTTCTATGTCATCCTTGAAGTCAAACACATAGTTTGGCAATGGTCCTGAACGAGAAACTCGACCGTATGCCTGCACTTGTGCGGAGTGCAAATATGCCCAAGACCTGAGTGACAAGCGCAAAGTCTTGGGTCGAGCAATCCATTTTTGTGCTCCCGGGGTGTCTGTTCCAGGCTCAACTACAAGAAGGTCTACTCTCATTCTGCGAACGAGAGAGCAAGATAGCTTGTGTAGTTCTTCTGTAATTTGCGCCATGGTATCCAAGCCCTTGTAAGTATCCTCGATACTAATCTGGCTTGGCACGTTGCTAGCCTCCTTGACCTCAGTTCCGTCAACTCCATGCAGTAGGCCCCAGATCCGGGTACCTACCCCCTTCTCTGCTCCAGGTCCCATTAATAGAGTCTCTATAGTGGCGGGCGAGATACTGGGATGAAGACGAACATCGGCAACGGTAACAGGGTTATCACTCAACTCTGGAATTTCGGATATGCCTCTACTCATGTCAGCTCCAGCATGGGTTCCTAGCGCCTGAACAGTCTTGAATCCTAGCCCAGGTATCCTTCGCAGTTTATGGGCGTCTACAAAGGCAATCACCTCATCCTCGGTAGTCGCTAATAGTGTTGTTTGATTGCGAGGCTTATTCTTGCTACCCACAAGCTTGCTCAGCATCTTATTAGTCGAAATACCACAGGTGCTAGTGAACCCATATTTTTCTTCCACCTGGAGCCGTAGGAACTTGGCGAGATGCGATCCTAATACGAGGCGTAAATAAGCTGGACTTTTTGGATCAGGGGTTGGAGAGGCTGTGCCTTCAACACAGCCCGCGATGCTCGTTAGATCGCACTGGAAGCCCCGTTCAGGGTCATTTTTGGAAAGAAAAAAGAAGGAATTATCCAGAAATTCTAGGTTGAGGCAAGAAAGGTTGTATTCGATGATGTCGGTTACGTCTATACGGCGATAAGCCTGGTCAGTGACCGTGTTGGAATTTGAATTAGATGCAACACAATAACATACCCATGAACACCTCATCAAATCCTAGACGCTCGGCCTTGTTGTTCCATGAAAAGGTTTTGAAAAAGTTGAATAATGCTTTGCTCATATCACGAAAGGGTGTGAGATCTTCACCGTCTACAAGGACGAGGTCTGGGCACTTGCGTCTGGCTTCGGAAACGGACATGAGCTTTGTGAGACCACGGGCACGAGCGTTGTAGTTGCATGTTGCCAGGCAATTCTTCTGCTTAACGCCCAAAGGGAACTTCTTTAGCTCTGGTTTCTTGTTTTCAAAGACCTGCGCGTAGAAACAATCGTAATCCTTTTTCGATAGGTCAGCATGGTTGTGAAAGGATGGGATGACTGGAACGAACGAATTGTAGTATGATTCGGTCATCATTCCGCCGAGGCCTTTTCTTGCTGGGCGGCTCCATTCTTTACGCTGACTGGCAGTCTGAAGAGACGGCGGGCATGTAAGTTTCAGGTTTGATGTAGTCTAGAATTGAGAGAAGACTTCCAAGGTCAGTCAGAGTTGTAAAGGTGTGGTTTCGCCCAAAACGCCGCTTCGAAATTGCAAAATCACTATTAAATAGACGATGGGTTGATCAATAGGTAAAGAGTAGAGAGAGACAAAGTAAAATTATATTAATTGCGATATTTCGAAAGTTATCATTCACGATACTATAACCCAGACCCTGCGTCTGCCCGCTGAGGCTGCTGCCCACATGTGCCTGAGGTGTCGATGCGTTCCTGTCCATCAATGAGGAAGGGAGGTATGGATGTGACTTACAACACGGGCTTGCATATATTTTCCAATTGATCCCTTCAATCAGTTTTGTCATCACTCGAATCACGTTGACCATAGCAGTGTTTTCAAAGTTGGGATGCCCATTAAGACATCAAATGTTGATATAACTTCACTTCTTTGTTATTGCATCAACTCTCCACAAGCGCGTCCCAACAAATCACCATCACAAATTCCACATAGCGGTGGACATGCATGAGCAAGCCAGTAAAGTAGGCGACATGTCAGTCATCGATCCTCCTGCAAACGCCAATACCTCACCCTTGCTTTGCGCGAGACGTAGACGGAGACGATAGAATAGACGCGATTCTCGTCCGGACATGATTAGAATTTATCTAAACCCGCAGGACCAATTGATTTATGTCTGCGGCCCAGTCACTCGACTTCGCTTCTAACTCTCTACTCTGATCCCCCGCTGTGATCCTTGTCGCCGTTTCGACCATCCACAGTTAAGCTGTAGCCGCCCAAGTGAGTGCTTCATTCGCTACAAGAAGGCTGTCTGGTCCCTCCAATCACACCAGCTCCCAACTTTGAGAAACGTGCATCGCGACGGGCAGACGATGCTTACCGCAATTTGTTTGATTCTGAACTGCTTATGGTCCTTGCGTGATTGTTATGAGAATACACTCGCCTTTGTCGGCTCTAAATGAATGTAATTTCAAAGAGCATGGCTGAGACTCTGGGAACAAGGACCGGCCTTGTCTGAATCATGGCTTGGAGCATGGCTGAGCAACGTCCCCACAAACGTTAGTTCTTTGTTCTCGACATATCACAGAACCATTATTTCAACTTCATTCTGATTGTCAATAGACATCACCATCAACCATTCTCGACTCCTCAAGCACGAACCTACTACTGTCAAAGGGATGGGAACAATGACTGCCCTCTTGCATAGACGCCAGAGCGAGTGAGAGAGCCGATCTGTTAGCCGCGTGATTGGACCTGGTTGGAAGTTTACCAGGATCACACTTCTACTTGGGCGCTTGCGCCTCCAACGTATTCCACCAAGTCGTTGTGACGAACCAACCACAGCACGCCTCAGTGACATATCCGTCAAGTTCCCAGAGCAAAATCCTCCTCAACCCTCCAACTTTCGCGTCTACGCCATAGAGGATTATCACACTGCATGCATAGCTAGGGGCGCTTGTTTAAGTCCGAGGACTGGGTCAAAGAAAGGATCATTACCCTGGTTCTGTCTCCCCGCCCACAATTGACCCAGTGTGATGCATGTCTCAATGTCTATCATCCTATATAGACGCAATGTCCTCGTTTCTGTGTTGTTTGTTCGTGCTGTTTCTGCGTTTTGACATTATATCAATTTACTGATCCCTGACGGTTCCGATCTCTCGGTAACAGCGTCTTCGGCTAGACCTGTTCGACATTGTTTGCCTGTTGGTTCATAGACCCAGCCACCTGCAACAGTGTGAGGGTAATCTGGCAGCCCATCTTTACTCTCAAGTGTTTGGTATATCAGTCCCCTTGGCCCCTCCATCAACCAGGTCTGGCCCAGCATCATGGCCTCTTCTCAAGCTCCTCCCAAAAAGCCACGGCTCTCCCTTCAGATCAAGACATCATGTAGTCCGGTTACAATATCATCAAGGAGTTATGCAGTTGACCCAAAAGACCCAACTGCCTTTAATACGTTGTCCAATGTCTATGTCACCACCATTGAAAGAGCTACTCCAGCCCTGCCTGAGCCTATCACCGCCATCAACACCCTCCAAGCATTCAGTCTTGAAACTCCTGTGGAGCGTCAGGACCCAAAACACAGAGTTGTCACTCCTTATGTCGCTTCTTATCCCGAGACTCCCTCATCTGATACAGCGCCATCACCACACCCGGGGCTGGAAATCAACTACCCCAGCACTATGACAGCTACACCTCCCCTCTCTGCTGGACCAGTCGATCCTCACACCAGCAAAGCCTTTAGCTTCTCACCTGCTGATATATCAGCGGCTCCAATCCACAAACCTCACTCACATGCCGAGAAGCGCACGCTTTCTCGCCCAACATCCCTGGCGGAACTGAATGTACAAGCGCCCTACACACATCCCCGCTCACTTCACAGCATCTTGCGCAACTCGCCTCTTCCACCACCCACTGCCATTCTTCCACCTTCACCCCGACGGCAGTCACGACGTCTCCAGGACAAGGCAAATCGACGAGTGTGTTACAACAACCCTCTGACTCAGGAGATTGTGACAAACAAGTACACAAAGTCCCATATTGACTTGCTTGTGGAAGAGGCCTCGCCTCACTCTCCGCCTTGCGTCCCTCCACAACCTCAAAATGCCATCGATTTGGCTCTCGCATTCATGCCCAATGAGATTCAGGATGGTGGGCAAACTCCCGGACCTTTTGAGGATATGCGTCGCAGAATGACGGGCCTGGGTGTGCCAAGTACGCCTGGTTCGCCCATGTCTCCCGCAGGGCCAAGGGGTATTTCGAAGCGAAAGAAGAAGGAGAAGAAGCGCCGTTGGGTATGGACAATCGGGCAAGAAGATGGCGATGATGATGAGCATGTGGGAGGTTCTATCGCTGCTTTGAGGGCTGAGGCGGCCAAGGCGAAGGATGCTGATGAAATCAAGACACCTGTGACCGCCATCAGATCTCCCCCCTTCACTTTTCTCACAACGCCGACACCGAGCACGGATAGTTTCGAAAGCTTGGATAGCATCCTATCTGAGAGCAATGATATTGAGATGTCCGATACGAGCAGTTGTCTCACAATACCCGAAGAATCTCGCCACATGACTGCAGAGATGGATCTGGACATCAAGACGCCGGTCGCCCAGCAGGATGATGGGGAAAGCTCAGATATGCTCCTCCTACCAGATAACAATGTTGGTGGGCCTGGTCTGAAAAGGGACTCTCCAGTGCCACCAGACTTATTGCGTACAGAATGAGCGGGTTTGGGGGAAAAGAGATGTTTTGATTCTTTGTACTTATTGTATTCATTGACCAGTTTTCAATGTTTGGTGAAACGGGTGTATTATTCTTATTTTTTACTTACCTTTGGGGGAGACTGGACATCATGATACCGTACGTGGATAGTACTTATGAGAAATGAATAAAGAAAATGAACAAAGTGAGATGTGGTCTCTATCTCCAGATACTTTTTGTCGTGGATTTATACTTTCTATGCCTTACAGCCTGACAGCTTTAATTAACTTGTGACTCCGCGCCGAACTTAAACAGCATATAAATGCCTTCCAAGTTTGCGATTTTATTTCCAGGTCTTGACGTCTTAAGTCAGCTTCTACCAAGCCTTTTTTTTTTTTTTTCCTCGTTCTCTTCAACGCGACATTCTATCACGCTACCTGCCAAGTGTACTAACCAGTGGCGATCATGGGGAAAAAGAACAACAAGGGTGCGGGCAAGGCATCAAACCAGCCACTCTCATCAAGATCGTTTAATGTTGGAGGATACTCAACCGCACCAAGTACAGCGACTACCACCGCTACCATAGCGACAGATCCAAGACTGGGATACAAAGTCCGAGTTCTTATATACGACTTCCTCAGCGTCACAAAAGACCCTAACTCAGCCAAGCGCATCAATTCTACAACCGATGAACACTATATCAGTGCTCCATATTTTGACGAGACCCAAGCTGCGATAGTCAAGGCTGCAGCTATAGATATTAAACTTGGAAGGTACACTGAAACCGCTGATGATAAGGATCTCGAAACCCTGGTATTACAACAAGGCAAAAGCTTTGAGGACGCTGTTCGTGCTTTTCTAAATAGTTTCATCGACAAAAGACGTGTAAGCGGCGATGCTCGGCCGTGGGGACCTCAACATTTAGCGCCCATGTATGCCAATCTCTTTAGTATTAACATGGAGGAGTTGAAGGATGCCAAGTTCCTTGGTCGACTGAGGAGATCTGGACTATGAAAACGACATGGCGTGTCTTGTAACAAGCAAGTATGTCATCAATATAAGCATTCTGGTTGGCCAAGACACCCATGCTGGGAATCTCAAACCTGACGTCACCCCACTCCCCAAACTTGCACCCGCATGCATTTGTGCTTGTCTTTATGCCTGAGATCTCTCTTTCTCCCAATGTCATTCAGAATCCCTCTCAGACGTTTCACCAACCTGGAGCTTGGCTCTCTTCTTATTCACAAGCAAGATATTCTCACTCGAGCAAACTTCTCCCGACCTTCACAGCGACTACTCAGCAGTTCACGACCCCTCAAAATGTCCAACGACGACGATTACATGGCCTTCTTAAACAAGGCGAACCAGGATACCGGCGCAAGCGCCTCGACACAAGACAAGACAACTTTCAAGGCAAAGGACCACGGTGCTGAGGTACCTAAGGCCATTGTCGATGTATGCAAAAAAGCCGTCTACACATCTGACGCAGACGAGCCCTTTGAAGAGGTGTCTCTCAAGTGGCAGGGCAAGAACGGTCTACCCACAGAGAGTAAGTGAAACAAGTGTCATCTGAAAGTTAGAAACTAATATGGTTAAAGCCGAATTTGCCAAGCTCATCAACCACTCCTCTCCTGACTCGGCAGAAATCCAGATTCTAGACCCTCTGAGCTGGGACTCCCACGGCAAATACACCGACGTCATCGAGGCTGTCCGCGAAGCCTCTCAGGGCAACGACGTGCGAGTCTATCAGGTAACAAGAGACTCCACGAGAATAGAGTATTGGGTTATTTCGCACGCTGATGGAAAGCTCATTGGTGCCAAGGCCCTTTCTGTTGAGAGCTAAGTTGTGTTTCTTGTTGGGACTTTGCTTATCATAAGCGTTTATGAAATATTTAGTAGTATCGTGGTGAATCGTTCTACAGTAAAGTATGTTATTTATGCTGTTGCTAAGAAATGGAATGTTGGCCGGTATTGTCGCCTACAGTATAGGAATAGAAACATATCAGGAAACATCACTTTACATCGTGCCATGAACATTGGCGAATACTGAAGCCCTTCCGACCGAATGTCTGGAGCAAAATAATAGTTTGATATTTATCCAGCATTTTGTAGGCCTATACTTGGGTATAATACTTTCGGATAGAATCAATCACGACATTGCCTGCTGGACCTGTTATACTTCCCGATTGGTAACAGGCCAACCAGAAAAGCGATGGATATATTAGTTTTAGAGCAATTATTTCACCAGACTTTCACCAGATATGCAAGGTAGAGTCATATTAATTGGGAATCTCGTTAGAATTTTTGATCACTATCCCTCTCCTAGCTGGACTTTTTTTTATGCTCCATGCCAGTTCATACCTGACCCAGCCCAAACGCAAGGCGTAACGAACCAACCCTTGACACCGATGCAATGGAATGATTGGTTAAGACACGAAAAGAAACAAGCTGCCGCTTTAAGCGGAGGCAAGGTCCTTCTTGAGAGTACCCTGGTACTGCTTCTTCTCGGCAGGGGTCTGGAAAGCACCGTGTCCAAACTCGGACGAGGTGTCGATCCACTTGAGGCTGACCTTCTCGAGGGCCTTTCGGGAGGTCTGGGGGAACATGGTCTTTCGGAGGGTCATGACACGCTTCTTGGTACCAGGGATAGAGCCCTTGACCATGACGAAGTCGTTCTTGATCTCACCGTAGCGGACGAAACCACCAAGACTGTGATATGTTAGCAACTAGATTGGTAGAAAGACATAGAGCTTGAGTTACGTACGGTGTAATGGTCTTCTTGGTGACATCGATCTCAGTGGCGGCGTTGTCGTCAGCGTCACCCTTACCAATGCGGTAGATCTTGTGGTTAACCGAGGTTCGGTGGTGGTAACCTCTCTGACCGGCACGGGCAACAGTCCACTGGACGTGGGAAGGATGCCAAGCACCGATACAAGCGACCTTTCGGAGACCCTTGTGAGTCTTGCGAGGAAGCTTCTTGGTGCCCCAACGGGCAGTGACACCTTCGAAACCATGACCCTTGGTGACGGCAATGACGTCAATCATCTCGTCCTGCTCGAAGATGCTGGAGACATCGACGGGCTTCTCGAAGAGCTCCTGGCCGAAGGAAACCTTGTCGGCGATAGAGCCGCCGTTGACTTGGATCTCCATCAGGTGAGCCTTCTTCTGCTTGAGAGGAGTCTTTCGGATCTGGGTGTGGGCGAGGACACGGACGACGGTGCAGTACTTCTTGATGCGCTCAAGCTCGCGGGTGATGGAAGCACCGCTGTTCTCGGAGTGCTTCTTGGCGTACTTGGTGAAAGCCTTCTTCTTGGACTTGTACCAGTTCTTGTAGAATCGGCGCTTGAGCTCGTCGCTCAGATGCTCAGCCCAAACGGTGGTGAGGGATCGCAGGCCTCGGGGAGTCTCGATGTAGCCAACCAGACCAACAACGATCATCTAAAAGATGTTAGCCATAGGCACATAGCCAAGCGGGCTGCATTGCTCGTACAGGTGGAGTATCAACGATTGAAACAGCCTCAACGACTTCCTTCTTGTTGGCCTTCGCGCCAGGTCGATCGAGGTCGCGGACGATGGTGGTCATACCGGCCTTGTAACCCATGGCGGCAGTCAGGTGGACGGGCTTCTTGGGGTCGTCCTTGGGGAAACTGTTGATCCCGACGTGTTAGCTATTGTCATTACTGCTGGGAGGCATTGCTCAGAAGAATTTTTTTTTCTTCTGAGGCTGGAGTAACAGAAAATACTCACGACTTGACCTTTCCACGATGTCTGGCAGCCCGCTTGCGCGGCAGGTAAGCCAGGGAGCCATGTCTGGGAGCCTCGTACTTTCTGTGCTGTAAACTTTATCAGTAATTGAATTGTCGTCGTCGACAGACTGTACTCACACTCATCTTGGGCGGGCTGTGTGGTTTGAGGGGGTTAGTATGAACCTGAGTTTGACGAAGCCTGGAGAAGAAGAAGGGACAAAATCAAGTGTGGGCGAATTTTAAGCGAACAGTTCAGATTTCGTGGGTGGCCCGTGCTTAGTGCGTTTTTCTTAGCCCCGTTAAAATCTTCACCAGATGCTCACCGAGAGGGCATTGGCTCACCGAAAAAGAGCCCTCATTATTATCACGTGAGTCAATTTGGAAGACGGTGGGCCATCAGTATCATCGTCTTTCTCCTGGGCGGTGTTGTTCAGACTCGGTAGTTTACTCAAGTCCTTGCTAAACTATTTTTTAACTACCTATAGACGTTTCTTTTTAAGCCAAAATCACCCTTTATCAAATTTGAGCCCTCACGAATCAATAACAAGATTTGCAGATTTTCACGCGTAATTCTTTAGCATATTAACAAGTCCAGTGAGAGTAGAGATGGATACAACTGAGTTTTTATTGATTCGAGTTAGGAAATTAAATGTGCATAATGATCTTGTTCGCCGGTGACGTCGTAGCCAAAATAAACAATAAAAGACCATAACCCCGGCATGACCCTCGGTTTTGAATCGTCTCTCAAGCCTCTCCAACCGCACAAAAGAAACCCATGCCCCCGGTAGTAGAAATGGTGGTGGTATACATGAAAAACACAAGACTGGACGGCGCAGGTAAAAAAAAGTCTTCAACTCATGACGAACAAGTAGCAAGTCAAATTATAACTCATTCAACTTTTGGGGCGGCGGAAATTCCGTTTACACCAGCGTTAGCAGGAGTTGATGTCTTGGCGTCTCCAGCTGCGGAGCCAGGAGCAGAGCCATTGGTGACAATGGTAGTGGTCTTCTTCTCATCTTCTCCACTGTCGTCGTAGTCCTCATCAACTTCCATCTTCCTGGCTGCTCTTTCAGGCTCAGAAGTAGGGGCTGCGCGAACAGGAGGGGCATGCTCAAGACTAGGTGGGCGCTCCTCCTTAGGAGTTGCCACAACTGGAGGCTTCTCGTGAACGACTCCGGACATGGGAGTTGGAGGTCCTTGCTGCATTGGAGGCAGATGGCTAGGACCAGAAGTATGGCTGGGGGGGTGATGAGCAGCATCGGAAGGATGATAGCTCTCGGGGGCATGACGAGGAGCTGATTCGGGTCGGCGAGGCTCTTCACGACGTGGCTCTTCAGGCCGGCGAGCATCCTCAGGACGTCGGGCTTCAGACGAGTTGCGGCGGTATTCGCGAGGAGGTGAAGACATCCTTCGGTGACGAACGTCATCAAGGCGAACCCGGTTCTCTTCGTTGGCCTGCTTCTTGGCAGTAGATTCCTCCTCCCACTCTCGCATCCTCTTGGGTCCAACTGAAGGCGGCCTATCATCCATCCTCTGCATAGCAGCCTCAGCCACAGCAGGCGGGGGTGGTGGTGGTGGTCCAGGTGGGCCGGCAGGTCCTGAGGGTCCATTCTCGTTTCCGGGGGTAGACATCTCGGGGTGCTGATTATATAGTGGAGGTGCCTGATGCTGAGGATATGCTGACTTCGGTGAAGGCATGCGGTTGTCATGAACGGGTCGGCCATCAGGGCGAGGGCTGTTGGTTGGTCGGAAAGGTGCCATACCGTTAGGACCGTTGATGTTGTTCGATGGAGGTGCTGATGCCGATGCTGAGGGTGCTGCTCCAACCCAACTAGGGTTTGCGACGCGACGCTCCGAGGGTGGAGCAGAAGGTTGAGCCTGAGGGGGAGCATGAGGCGGTTGGGAGTACTGGTGGCCAGGAGGGGGAGGAGGAGTTTGGCCACGGCGTGGGCCGCCTCGGCTAGGATCGTTGTAAGGTTGACGAAGCTGCTCTTGTTGAGGGCTTGGTTGCCGCAATGGTGGTGCTGGTCCTCCACGGAATTGTTCACCACCTCGGGCTTCATAGGGGTTTGGTGGCTGAGGCGGGGGGTTGATGTTGGAGAGTCTACCCGCCCAGTTCTCTCCTGGGCCTTGTGGTGGTGGTGGTGGACCAGCCGCCGGTGGCTGTTGGGTCGATCCTCCCCATTGAGGACCAACGGGGCCAGCCGCCTGGTAAGCTTGAGGGTGAACATCAGCGGGTTGGGGAGCAGCAGGGGGAGGGCCTCCGTTTGTGCCACCAGAGCGAAGAAGCTGTAGTCTTGCCTTGATGTGGGGGTTGTTAGGATCAAGCTCAGCTGCTCGTTGGTAGGCATCCAAAGCATCAGTGATTTGGTTATTGCAGCTTTCATACTGGAACAGGTTAACAAACGGCACAAGATAAACAATTATACATGAAGACATACCAATGTTCCAAGATCATACCAAACCTCAGAGATGTAAGGGTTCAGTCTTATAGCCCTGGAATAAGCGTCGAGAGCATCTCTGTACTGGTTGATCTGGTAGTAAAGCACACCGATGGAGCACCAGAAAGTCGGGTTCTTTCCATCTCTGTACACGGCTTGTTGATATGCCTCATATGCTTTAGGATACTTTTGTTGAGACATGTAGCATCGACCTAGGAGATACCAACTCTGCGCATCCTGATTATCTAATCTGCATGTTAGTATAATCAGTGATGGATGAATTGGAGTGATATATCGTACCTGCATTAACCGATTTCTCCAGGTATTGAATTGCGCGATCTTGGCTCTCATACGTGTTGCTTTGCTGGTGATGTAGCCATCCAAGCTGCTGAAGAACCTTGGCATGGTTCGGGGAGTGGTCCAGCACACGCTGATAAGCCGCCTTGGCACTATCGAACTAGGGTCGGGTTAGATATGGCACAGCAATGGCCAACACAATTTGTTACTTACATCTTTTTGTTGTTCGTGGACGTGGCCAATTTGAAACCAAATGTCCTCTTGAGTCAAAGGTCCGGGGGGAGAATTGACGATGTATTTAAAACACTATATGTGTGAGCCGCGCGCATCAAAAGTGGGCACGAGACAAGGAAACTTAC